CATTGGGACGTTTTGCCGTACGTGATATGAGACAAACGGTTGCCGTCGGTGTCATCAAAGATGTTGAAAAGAAAGCAGCAGGTTCAGCTAAAGTAACAAAATCAGCAGCAGTGGCTGGTAAGAAGAAGTAAGTTACGATGTTTCAGTGGAGAAAGAATAACATCGTGGGATGCTGTTGTCAGAGATTTTGCGCTGGTTAGTATTTTATTGTTATAATATCTTTTGTTAAACTAAGGAGAAGTGTATTCGTTTTGAACAACGGTAATTTTATTTGAAAACAGTAAAATGTCATCCCTTTTTGTTCTTGTTTTTATTGTTATGTTTTCTTTTTGTTGTTGGGTGAAAGAGAGAGTAAGAATAAAAGAAAGAACTATTTTATTGTGATGCGTATGCTCAAGAGAACGTGTTACCTTATATATGTGGTGCATAAATAATTTTGCGTTTTAATTCATGAAGAATGGGTGGGTGTGTATGTTATTGATTTACATCGGGTATAAAAACGAAATTCACAAGTGTTACAGAACTGAAAATGATGATGTTGTAAAAGCTGATGGTTATGTTTGTTTTTTGGAAGAGGCGTACGAACGGTAGACCAACCAGGTTTTAAGAAACGAAGGCAACAACAGAAGAAAAAGTTTCACAAAATATTTAATTCTCAAAAATGAGTTTTGACAGAATATTTTTTGCAAACCAAAAGCTTATCATCCGCTTATAAAAACATCGGAAATGAGTTTTTTACGAAAGAAACGGCTGTGTAGTTAGTTGTACCGTGCAATTTGTAGCATACACGATATTCTACATCGCTCTTACATTTCGAAGGTAAAACAGGCGCTTTAGTTGGTATGATGGTGAGAAGGGCTGTTAGCTGTAATGAACAAATTATGTTGTTTTTATTACAAAAACGAATAAAAATACAGAAAACTCACTCAAAAAGATATTAGGAGACTAGATCATTGTGACAAATTTTTTTTTCTATGGATTCTTTAAATCGATCGATTCGTTGAAAATTTGTACACATTTTTTCATTGGCAATCGTCACCAATTTAACAATGTATGATTTATCTACACATAATTCTCCGTTGATAACAATTGGCACTTCAAGTCCATGCGTACTCCTTACTCCCAACGTTATTTTACCTTGTTTAGATAGAACTAAACCCGAATTTCGATAGCCACACTCCAGTACAAGATTTAATAATTGTTTAGCACACTCAATATTTCGACATATAATATGTACAATAAATGGTTCATATTTGAACGTTATTAAATGTGACTTAGAAGCTGATGCTTCTATACACGTCCATATTTCATCCACATTTGCTTCACCATGTGTTACATACAACCATTGACAATCGCTTTTTGACGCTGTCGGTGTTGTGGCAAAGACGATTGTTCGACCTGAACACGATGAACTCGTATAATAATCTGAATGTTGATTAATCATATTCATTAAATCAACGATATATTCATCAATGGAATGTTTTCGAGATAAATCTTTTCCACTCAATAATACAACTGATTTCCATTCATCAAAATGACTCAACTTTTTTGTCATCACCAAATCTACTAAAAATAGATAGAAAATGTTGCAGATAAGACGTTTTTTAACAATTTTCAAACTACATTAATTAGTACCAATAGTCATACAATGCACAATACGAATCCAAAATCTAAATATTACAGTCTAGTACAATAAACATATTTTCTCCTCATTTTTAACGTTTATTTTTAACATAAAATACATTTTTGTTTATTAGACAAACTACAAAACAAGACAACGAAAATATGTTTTGTACATCGAAAAAGGTTTACATGTAGCATGAATAAATTAAAAAAAAAAACCAAAAATTAGAAAAATAAAGAATATTACATCATCCTCTAAGTATTGATGAAAATGAACAACAAACACGCTTATCAGCATTCATACCGGAGATTTTGATTGCGAGAAAAAAAATAAGTCAAGTAAGACGAATATGAAGGTATAAGAAGATTTCTTTTTTTGTAAAATCTTCTTTTATTCGAATGCAATACCAAGAAGAAAGCCACCTATAAAACTTGATGCTAACGATACATTTTCATATGCGAATGCTCTCAACTAAAAAGACAAAATAAAAGTAAATATACCAGCTGATTAAGCAATATGACAACAAAACTAAGTTAAATGTGACTTTCATCATCCACGCTTGAAATCGATTTTTACAACGTGTAATGGAAAATAAAACCATTCTATCCGCAATATGCATTCATAATATTGAATTTTTTAAAATTTATCGTATACAAAATGACGTTGGTTCACATAATTGAGAAATCAAATATTCTGATAGGTTTTTTTTCGAAAATCTTATCTCTATACTTTAATAATAGAGATTAGACTCGATGTTAGCCTTTATTTAATCATATAAATAGGTTTCGATTTTACTTCAATAATTCCCGTATGCACTCTCTACAAATGTAAATGAGAATAGGTATTCATTGAATTTTTGAATACTTTATGAAAAAAAATAAACACTAACACAAGATTCAGCATGACTGATTATGTATGTTCCATGCTAATTTGAAGGTTTTTCTAAGTCAATGGAGACAAGTGCTATGCACTCAGAAAATATGATACTACGCTCGAACCGCTGAAGATTAAGATTCTTGTTTGGCTCCCTTATCCACTAGGACACTTCAGATGTTTACATATGTATAAAACTAAAATATTCATTTCAAGTCTGTAAATCCAAACTGATTTTCCTTCCCATTACTCAACTGGATTTCGAAGAATCAAACAATAACTGTTCTTTATTGACAAGTACGTATTTTCTCTCGATGTTTTTTAATGTACAAAAGCAAAAAATTAATATATTCTGATGTGTCAATATTCACTGGCAATATGCATAAAATTCGATATCTGATTTGTTTTTAAGAAAACAGACACAACAAGACAATAGTTAGTGATTATTATAGTTAAGTTCGAAACAAACATAAAGAAAGATTCATCAATTTCTAATGAAATAAAAATAACTGTAGTATAGAAACAGTAAGATAATATATCAACTGCCTTTCTGGCACACTATTACTCTACTAGAAGACCTGGCGGTAGTTAAAAGAATAGTTTACACCCTGCTGTATTGTAGTTCTAACAGTTACTTTTTCTTCAGCTAATAATATATGGTTTATCAGATATATTACCTGTTGCAGAACACTTGATGTTCCTCCTTGTATGTTATTAATTTCTTCAATATCTTCATCTTGATTCGTTGTTGTAGTTGTTTGCGTTATTGTTCGTGAATCATGCACACGTCTTTGAACCGCTTCACGTATTCGATCATAATGAATATCAATATAACCAGTTTGATTAGCTATCTGGAAAAAATTTAAAAACTTTTTTTTAGCAATAAAGCTCTAAGCAAATTACATACGGCTAGAACAATAACTCCAGTACCGATCGCAAAAGCAGCTGCTTTTGATGCTTTCGCAAACAGAAATCCAGTTGCTCTATACGAAGAAATATGATTATAACACATGTATTTTCGTACAAAAAGTAACTACTCACATTCCTGATACTCCACCAACAGCTGCTTGTTTAGCTGGAGTTAGGGTTTTTATTTCATTTAATGTACGGTGAATAAGCTGATGATATTGAGTTTCTTCCGGATACGTTGAAGAAACAACTAAACACAAATCAACACACGATAGAGCCAAAATTATAAACATTTTTTCTAAAAGACCTACTTTGACGTGGACGATAAATGTCAACGTCTTGTGAGGATTTGATACTTCGGTGTTTTCGTTGTTGATCGTTGTCGTTATTCATCTTTTCAAGAAAATTACTCTTTCTACAACAATAATATACACATAAGATAAAGAAAATATAAAACATAAAATATGAACACAGTAACTACAAATATTCTGCTCTCGACTAGAAATTAGAAAAAAATGAGTCGCGAGTATCAGGTCCCAACTTGCAGGTGAGGGTTCTAGCGCTTCGACAAAATAGTATTTGTCCGCCCAGAGGCATTCCAGAGTACGTCTGCGATTTTCGAGAACATAAAAAATCTAAAAGCAGAACTACTCATTTTGTCTGAAAATGAAAATTTTTTTAAAGTGAAGGCAGATAAACATTTATTTTCATAATTTTGATAATTGTTTGTTTTCTTTTGTTTAAAGAAGGTAAACATAGAAAGATGACGTGAAACCGGAAAGAACGGATACTGATCTTTTCCTCTTTCTTTCACTCTAGAGAAAAATATAATTATGAGTTGAAAAACGTTCACGTTCTGTCAACACTAGTATTTTCTATTATGGCTAGAAAAGTATCGGTTCTGAAAAAGTGAGATCGTCTGAAGAACCGTGATTCCGATTCTTATGCAAAACTGAACATCCCTTCCGGTAGCCTATGAAGAGTGATCGCCAGCACGCTTCTCTCATTCAAAGCATCTTTTTCTTCCAACGGTTTTATTGCTTCCCTACGTATGGCTAATAATTGTGAATACAATTCTGACTACACAGAGACAAATTTCGGTTTTGTCAAATATTAGAACAAATCGAATAAGTCAGTTAAAAGTAATTTTGAATCTTGTCGTAAAAGACAGATTAAATGTAACAGGACAATCCATTGTTTATGTATATATCCAATGTTTATGACGAATAGGTATGTAATGGACGGAAATAAAGAAAAAAAACCTATAACGGCATAAAATAAGTATTGATTAATATTGATAATAATATCTACTCTACTGTGGACGGAATTCTTTAGTCACTTTTAAACAAAATTTATGCAACATTATTTGCTATTCCAATAATGCCAGATGCCAATTTTGCGCCAGTCGATCCATTTAATTTACTATCTTCTGTTTCACCCCTCGCATAATCATCTTCTTTTTCACTGATAATACATGATCGTCCAATAATTGTGTATGGACCAAACAGTGTTATTTTCTGATCCATGATCTCAAATTTGGCTATTCCATCTTGATTTGACTCAATATTGCCTAGATCACCCATGTGACGATGTTCAAGATCAAATGGTGCGCCGTGACCTTTATTTTCAGGGTTGTAATGTGGACCAGCATCCGACAGATCACCGAAGGTATGAATATGCATACCATGTTTTGTATTCGGTGGCAAGTTTTGAATTTCGCCTTGAATTTTGACGTGAATTGAGCCGATCGGTTGAGAGAAGCGTATGCAGCCAGTGACACCATCTCCATACAAAGTACAAACAGCTTGGACATTAACTATAGATTTTGATGATGAGATCAATGGAGTTTGCAGTTTTGAAACGAGTGAAGCTGAATTTGATTGAGGCATATCAATCTAAAAATTAGTAGTTCTTGAAAAACTGACTGATTCATTTACGATGTTAGGGTTAGTTGATAGGTATTAGATTAGTCGAAATGTAAGAGGGAACGAATAGATTCAGAATTCTCTTTCTCTTCGGGCCGTCTTGAAATCAAAGCAAATCGTATGACGAACTCGACGTTTTACTACAAACAAAAACAAGCAACTAACTAACAACGTATTTTTATTTATGTAATTGGATAAAAATCACCATAATAAAAATATTAATTTCTGCACCGTTTTTTTTCACTAGTGAGGTCGCCACGAAACAGAATTTGGAATTTTTATCAAATTAGGTTATTTGTCAACACAGTTAAATGTAAGATAAAAGAAAAACCTTTGACCACTAAATTATCACAAACAACAACGAAATTGTGTGCATCATCTCATCTTAACATCTAGTGCTGTTATTACACAAGGTAACGCTCATTTGCGACTCGCTCGGTCCCATGACTTTTTTCTGGTGCTTTTTTTGCTGTTATTTGTAAATAAAAGCGCGAAGAAAAATACTGTTCAAATTAGTATATAAAGTCACTTTCATTTCATAGAGACTTCAAAAAGAAGTAACACTCATCCCCGAATCACTGGATCCGCACTGGTAGGACACTTATCTTAGGTAAAGTTACAGTGAGACTAAATCCTAGGACAGAATTTAGGCATAGCTTATCCTTTCATTTTGTTGATTTGAATTCTGAGAATAAAGCATGGTATACGACTCAGTTTTATTTAATTTTTATAACTGAATAAAGCATTTATTTAAAGGAATATATTGGATGGCCTCCTATGTGCTTAATACCGGCAAAATACCGATGGTTACAGGGAGGTATACCGCCATAGTAAATGGAAATACATATGGCAACAAACATCAATTGAAATTTCATTTAACGCAGAGACACAGACAAGTCTTTCATGATCTTAGATAAAGTCAACAGATCATAGCAGCACTAAAAACCTGTACTCCAAAAGTTTCTTCATCTCCTATTATGTTGCAACTCTAAAAGTTTTCTAGAAACCCCTTGGAGGTCTCCAGGCATCGAATACCACATTCAACCATCGTTTCACACAGACAACAGCTCAGAAATAAGTAGAAAACCCGGAAGGTTTCTAGGACTCCCAGGTTCCTGAAACCAGTCTGAAAAGCAGTGTTTTCGATAGTGGTTTTGGTGGGGGTTGGTGAGCCTGCTGAGTAACTAAAGTTTTTTTATTCAGTAACACATTTTTTGACTAAAAGTTTTTTCTGAGTAACTCAGTTACTCAGAAAAAAATGAATTACTCAAAAGGTAGAGAAAATCACTTACTCAGGTGCATAAAAGGCAGTTTCTCAACTTAAATTTCTTAAAAAATTTGAGTAACTTTGAGTAACAAATTTGAGTGACTGTATGATGGGGTGATTTGTCACCCCCTAATCGATAACGCTGCTGAACAGATCCTCCACGGTCGATTGCCTATCTGGGAACACTTTCTCTGATTCTATTAATTTTCACGATAAAGCGTCCTCTTAGATAACTATTTTGTATACCCCAGGCTAAAGTTAAGGGAAAAAGACATTAAACTTTTTTCTTGGTTGTTCTAAATACATTGTTGAGAGAACAGTATTATTCAATTTTTTCTATCGTACTAACCTAACAATAGACTAAGACATTTCATTTTCCTTATAAATGTTTTTTTACATTAGTATTATGCACTCCTCTGTTTATACAGTAGCTCAGGTGCTATTTTCGCTTTGTGTGTGTCGTCTTCACTCCTTTTAATATCGCCTCTTTTAGTCAAAATTCATTTATTGTGGTTTTTATTCTTGATACAGTTTTGAAAGTAAACGTTCACCCATTGTAAATTCAATTTTTTTGTATTGATTGTCTTTGTTTAGAAAACTCACCCTTCAAATGATGTTTGCCCTTGAGCATTGGAGTGGAACACATAGTCTTGGCTTTGCTTGAACGTTCATTCAACAATAAACAAAATTGAAAAGCAACAGAAATAAATCATTGACGCTGAGCAATTATTAACCACACTAATCCATAATCTTCTGACATGCCGTTCACTTGTTTCGTCGAAATTTGATATACCACACTCATTGATTCTTAACGTGAATCATCATATATTTCTTATCAACGATGACATTTGTCTGCAAAATATATATTGTTATGATAAAATTAAATTGCTAAATGTCTGAGTTGTTTTAATTTTGATACCAGCAAAACACATCAGGATCAATCCACATCAAACATAGAAGATCTAAGAAACGATGAATATTGAAACGTTGAATCGAATAAATGACATGTTGCAGTTCAATAACGACTTATATCTATGCTGGCACTTCAATAACAACACAAGATATATCATAAAAGAAACTGTATACTGTATTAAAATTATAAAGTTTCAACTGGACAAAATTTAAAAACAAAAAAAATAAATGTCAAACACAAACAAGTTTAATCTTCTTCGTCGGCCGTTTTTAACCAATTGACAAATGTTTTTAAATTTGTCCAATATTGTTGGTGTTGTTGGTCTTGATTGGTTGTTTTTGCTTCATTTTCTAACTTTTTACTGTCATACCATTTCAATATCCATTTTTCAGCAAAAACATCTTGATCATACAGAAAATCTAATATCTGATGAATTCGTGTTCCCAGTGTTTGTAAATTATCTAGAAAAACAAACCATGAAAAATACAAGAATGAAATAAAAACAGATTAATTTCATCAATCAACTCAATCAACAACAATCTGTTAGATTCTACTGCATCAGTCAAAACTGAAATATTAGATTCATACTGCTTCATGGAATACAGAATAGCTTCTGAGAGTCACAAATAGCATTTTAAAGCTTCTTCTAAAACTCTTTGATAAGTTACCTAAACACAGATTTTCTAATTCTTGTAAACAAAGAAGCTGCGAATTTTCATCATCCAATCGAACATAGTTTTTGAGAATTGGCACAGTTGTCTGTGTCAATGTTTGAATTAATAAATCAAAATAATTTGGTGTTGTCGAAGTTTTATTTTGTACTTCTCTTGGTAGCAAGAATACACAACGCGTTATTGATTGAATGAATTCATTTTGTGATACAACATAGGTAGGTTTCAACATATTTAATTCTACGATTAAATTTTCTACTCTGGGTTTTTCCTCATAGCCACGTTTCAGCGACTGCAACACTTCGCGTTGAAATTCATTCACATCTGCATCCTCATCCTCTGATGATGTAGCACTTTCACTATGAATGGAACCATTTGGGTCACTACTTAATGAACTTGATATACTTTTTTTTCGTATATCGCCACTAGCGACATCACCACTACTTGCAAATTGTTTTGATAATTTATTGCCCGTTTTAATATTAACATCACTTTCGGTATCAGTGTCGCTTCCGTTATTTGCTGGTTGATTTCGTCTTTGTAATAATGTACCCCAAGCATTGTACAATGTTCTCTGCTCTTGTTCGGTTTCATCATCGTCATCATCGTCACTAAGAATATTTAGCAATAACTCTTGACCTAAATTAAACAAGCCGTATAGATATAAAGCGTTTAAGAGAGACTCAAAGTCAGAATCATTTACTTTAACCTAACTCACAGTTGATTCACATTATACACATTTTTTTACACTCTTATCAAACGGAAATAATAACTTTATTTTTTCTGAAATATAACACGGCAGATAATTTCTCAACACTATTTGATCATTCAACTGTAGTTTTTAGAATAATACACAACCGAAACATTTCATTCCGAAATATAGAAATACTGTTAACTTAGTTACTATACAGTATCGTATTCAAAAATTACTCAAGAGATAGGTTAACGAATTTACTATTTTTATGCACAGAATAAAAACAATTCTTTTCAAGGGGAATTTTAAGTAATGGTCCAGTGAGGTTTACTCATACCTAATCCATCTTGTCCAACAAGTTTTGTATCGCAGAATTTTTCGCCATCACCCGTTCCTGTTGTTGATGATGATTTATCTGATAATCGCATTGATTCTGTTCGTCTTGTTCTTCTTGCTGTTGCTTCAGTATCAATTTCCACCTCGTCTTGATCTCCCATGTCGTTGGTATTAATAGATGATGCTACTATTATGGTATTATCATTTAGCACAACTTTTGTTCCAATGATAACACCTTTACATAGAATTGATTGCTTTCCAAGTTGGCATCCGCTTCGTATCAGAACATTATCGCATATAACGCATGAATCGATCTGACAATTTTCTTCAATTTGAACATGATTCCATATTATAGAATTTGATATTCGACTGTTTTTACCTAAAATCAACAACAGTGCATGCGATAGTTAGCACTTTTTGACTGAAAAATGTTTGCTTACCAATAATACAGTTTTGTCCAATAACTGTTTGTTTTAAATATACATTAGACAATATTTGCGTCCCATTTCCAATATAGACATCAATTTCAAGATGAGAATCACGATCGAGGGAAATAACACCTTGTTTATAAATATTTCGCTTATCGTAGACAACTGGATATAGTGACCAAAATAAGCGCGTTTGGAGAGCTATAGGAGTGGAAACTGGTGATGTTGTAGGTAATGAGATTGTTGATGATGATGGAGAACTAATTGTTTGCGATGTTTTTTGTAACAACGCTAATGTTTCCGGTACAAGTGGAAATGTCCAACGACGAATAATATCGATTGATGCTTTCATATACAAGTGTAGATTGTGTACGGAAAGAAAATAACCAGTTTCATATAAATGACAGTAGACTGTGTGAAAAGCAATTTCTTCGTCACGGAGTACACCTGAAATAGATATGCACCGTTTTGAGAACATCACGTCTTTCAGCATGCCTAAGTTCTCACTGGCTCAAAAAGTCACCACATTCTGACACGAACCTTTGACAAAATCGTTGATTGTTAAAAAATCAAAATTGTCCGAAAATAAAGTCAACACATCTGGAGAACAAATAGATAATTGTAAATCGAGTGGACAATACAATGTTTCTAAGCACGCATTTCGTTCAAACAATTCTAATGGTATATGGAATGATGGTGAATTTGATTGTTGTTGTTGGTAAAATGCTTGTTTAATATAGTCATACAATCGATTTGTCTTTTTATCTTTTATCAATATCAGTGACGTATCATCCGTTAACGAAGAATGTTCAACATGATGCAAAGTACGATAAACAAGAGTCATCACACAATTTTTATCTTGTTTAACATTATCTTTGTGTAACTGAAATAGTGATGATAATTTTTGATTTGTCAATAAACATCCTAGATAGACATTACTATTAATATTTACTCTATCTCAAGTTTAGTTAAAAGACTAACCTGAGCCATATAATAACAGAAAATCATTTGTAATAAACCCTCTTTGGTCCAGATCTCTAAGACAATCTCCCAATGATCGTGCATGTTTACACGGTACCAATTGAATATTACATGAATACGTTTTTGTCCACTGACTGTTCAACATGTAAGATCGAATTTCGAATGTATGAGCAGTACTAACTAAGATGATTTCCTGAATTCCAGATCGAATCAATGTATAGATGGTATAATCAATGAGTGGTTGACCATCGATGGGCCACAGACATAGTGGCAACGTTGTATGAGAAATAACATCATTTAAATGAGCATTAAAGGTATCTAATACAAGTACGCATGTTAAACGTTCTTCTTCCCGATAATCACTGTTAGTAGCTAACGGACGCATTTTAAAATAGAAAAATCTAAAATAGTAACCAATAGCTTTAGATAGTTTCACAGAATCATCGTATATATGGACAACGAACAATGTATGCTGATGCAACGATCATTACGAAAGAAAAAAATATTATCATCAGCAGCCATTTTTGCCAGGTAACTTCTAATTACAACTGCTTGTTTCTCATACTAGTATAACCGTGAACTGACGCATGGTAGAAAATTTTGAAAAAAATGACAATATGGGTCTGAGAACAAGAAACAATATAAATAAAAAATAAGAATGTAACAGGAAGATGAGTATAAATCTAAGAATATAGAGCACCGCTCTCGGTTGTAACCGAGTTACAGCATCTGTGAGCTGTGTATGTATGTTCGGTTCCTGTAATGCAGTTACTCACTACCTTATAAAGAAGAATTAGTAAGAAATAAGGTAAAATTAATCCAAAAAGCTTATAACTTCAGCAAAAATTAGTCTCTAGACAATTTTTCAATCTCAACATTCATTCGACTTTATAAGGTAGTGAGTAACTGCATTACAGGAACCGAACATACATACACAGCTCACAGATGCTGTAACTCGGTTACAACCGAGAGCGGTGCTCTATATTCTTAGATTTATACTCATCTTCCTGTTACATTCTTATTTTTTATTTATATTGTTTCTTGTTCTCAGACCCATATTGTCATTTTTTTCAAAATTTTCTACCATGCGTCAGTTCACGGTTATACTAGTATGAGAAACAAGCAGTTGTAATTAGAAGTTACCTGGTAATAACAGCTGCCAAAAATGGCCACCGATGATGTAATATTATTCTTTTCTTTCTCTCTTTTCGTTGAATAAAAATGCAACCAATGTCTATATACCCGAGTAGATGGGATGTATGCATTCCGTTTTCTATCTAGGTATATATAAAAATCTCTTTGGATTCTCTAAACGACCCGAGTGAATTTATCGGGTTTGAATATCTGCAGAATGTGAAATAGATGGCGCTAGAAATAGTCTGAAAGCTGATCGATATTTAAAGCAGATGTCCTGACGAACTTTAGAGAAGATTTTGGTGAGAGAAATATATTCGATGATTCCATATCATAAGTGTGTGCATATCATCGGAGAAAAAATAAAGTTGGTTGGGAGATGCTGAAAAGTGCTTTTTCGTATTCAGCCCACTCGATAATCCAGAAGATTTTCTATATTTGGTGAGGAGTACTTCCATACATTTAGAAAAAATTTTCAAACTAATATTATTTTCCCATGGAGATTTTTTGCGCCATTTTGCTTCAAAATTTTTCCTAAACGTTTGGAAGTACCTCTCACCAAATATAGAAAATCATCTGGATTATCGAGTGTGCTGAATATGAAAAAGCACTTTTCAGCAACTCAAAACCAACTTTATTTGTTCCGATGATACAGCTTGCTGGACAAAATTCCATATTCACGCTATTTCTACAATATATAGTTCAAACTGTTCATATATTTATGTGTTAATAATTCATTATATTATAAAAGGTGAATATTTTCGGCAATGATAGCTATGCATACTATACGTATATGCCAAGAAAATGAAATCATTCTTTCGATGAAAGTTTAGTGAATTCGTTCATACATTCGTCCGAAAAGAAAGCCAGAAAGTTATTTTCTTACATTTTGTTCTTTAACAGAAAAGTCGTATGCATCCTGTATAAAGAACACAATAATGAGAATGAAAACTGAGGTATATACACCATCAGACAGAAAGAAAAGGAAAGTGGCACCTTTGATTTTAGAGTCACTGCAGTGCCGTAACTAGGATTTCTTTTACCATGGCCAACTACACTAGTTCGAAAAAAACGGCTGGGCCATACTATTATAATTCGAGAAAAGACTGAACCAAAAAACCTTTTTTCAAATTTTCAGTTGGGAGAATCACAAAGTTCAAAATCTTATTGGGCCAAGGCTCAAATCACATTGGGCCATGGTTCCCGATCAGGGGGGGGGGGGGGGGGCGGCCCCCTGCCTAAAAAGGTTTTTGGCGTTTGGGGCAAAATTTTTGCGTTTTTTCCCCCCCCAAGTTTTGGCAAAAAAATTTGAAANCCCCCCCCCCCCCCCCCCCCCCCCCCCCCCCCCCCCCCCCCCCCCCCCCCCCCCCCCCCCCCCCCCCCCCCCCCCCCCCCCCGCGGGGGCGCCCCCCCCCCCCCGGCGGGCCCCTTCCTAAAAACGTTTTTGGACTTTCTGGCAAAATTTTTGACTTTTTTCCACCAGCAACTTTCTGACAAAAAATTTCGAAAAGTTTTTTCGCCAGCTACTTTCTGTGAAGCAAAATTTTTAGCCCCTCCTATCCCTAAGAGCAATCGAAAACCCTGCATTGGGCTATGGCTCCCCTCCGTAGTAACGCCATTGAGTCACACTGATCAGTAGCGTTTTCGATTAGAGGGTGGAAATCCATCCCCTCGTTACTCAAACAAATTTTGGCCTACTCAAAACTTTTTTAGGAAATTTAAACTCAGAAACTGTCTTTTATGCAGCTAAGTGAGTTTTATTCATCTTTTTTCCTAAGAAACTACTTCTTATTATTGATGGATCTTGTTTTGAAAAGAAATATGATGAAGAAAGAAAATAAGCGGTACTGTCAAAGCTCATTTTCAGTCTTCAATTAGTTAAAAAGATGCAGTTACTCAGAAAAGGATTTAGCGCAACAATACCTTCGAAATGAACTGAAAATCTTTTTCTAAATCAGTTTTCAATGCTGACTCAGAAAAATATAGTTCGAACCTTCCATCTTGCAATACAACCTCAAAAAGTCAATTTCATCATAGAGGACGGTTTTTTATATTTTAGAGGTGCTCTCCAGAGTTGCCTAATGCTTGGAACAGAAAAGCGGATATAAGCGGAATAAGTCGAAAAAGCGGAACTTTTTTCCAAAATGCGGAGAAAAAGTGGAAACGCATTTTTCACCGTATTGGTTCGTTTTCACCAACGCAAAGGGTATCAAAAAAAATTTTCTAGTGCTTTCTGGTGGTTCCACTTAAGAAACGCAAAAGAATTACAAAATATCATTTAAATTCCAATTTGAATCGATATTGGCTTTTTGTAGATGCGCGTTTTTGATCACCCGTCATAAATTTTAAGAGTTATGTGTGGCAGGATAAAATTTAATTTGAACCTTTCTCACCTACGACAGCACTTTATTGTTAAGATTTTCTGACTGAGTTGGCTTCCCTGAAGATTTAGTATTCACTATTTTTACACTCCCTTTCAGCAGCACTTGAGACAAACTAATGTTTTTCTGTTATCGCTTACTCGCGGGGCAAATTTCTGATTTAGTCAATAAAACAGTGCGCATCCGTTTTATAAAAGTTGCAAAAGCATTGTTTCGACAAGTCATTCAGCAACACTTTGCGGAAAAAACTATATAAAAATATAAAAATTATTTGGATCTTGGTGTTGAAAAATGGAAATGAAATATCTTAGAAACAAACAAACAGTACAGTGGAAGATCTGAAAATTTTTAGATGATCTGTATTTTTAGTAGGATAGATCGCTCATTAAGGGAATATATTGTTGAAAGAGGAGAGCGACCTCTAAGTGTAAGAAGCGTATTTGTTATTTTAATCCCATATCATTCATGTAAGATGTTAATGCAAATCAAATTGTTTTGTTTGCTATAGGAATTGGCACTAAAATAATATAAACAGGATTCTAGTCTACAATATGTCGTCAGTAAGAACAACAACGAGAAGTGGAACGAAACGAAAAAGAGCTACAGATGATAAATTGGTTAAAAAAGTTAAACCAGATGATAGAAAGATAAAAGATTTTTTTCTAACAAATGGTACAATAGTAGCAGCAACAGCAAAACGTGTTAGACAAGAAGAAAATGAGTCTGACAATCGAATACCATTATTTTCGGATCAGTGTCCAGTTCATATAGGATGTTCGGGTTATTCTTACAGAGGTTGGCATTCGAATAATTACTATCCGCCAAAACATGGGGCAAAGAAGGAATTTCAATATTATTCAAAGGTAAGAACGATCTTAACTTGTTTCTTTTTCACAGATTAGAAGAACATGTTTCATTTAAATGGAAGCCACACTTATGTTGCGCATAAAGAGTTTCTCGAATGTCACTGACTATCCGATGTTCGATTTGATTAATGAAATACGACTCGATTTTTTTTTCAACTGCTTAAAAAGATACGACTTGCTACATTTTAGGAATTTGATAGTGTTGAAATAAACAGTACATTTTACAATATACCAGCCGATAGTGTATTTGTTGATTGGTCAAAACGTGTACCAAGACCATCATTTCGTTATATAATTAAAGTCAATAAGTATGTACTTACTAAATTTTTACTTAATTTAACTTTATTTTATTTTCCGTTCTTTAAAGATATTTCACTCACATGAAACTATTGAATCAAGATGATGAATTTATATCACGGTGGAATGTAAGTAAATACGAAAATCACTATTTGCAACAGGAAGTTTCTCTTGACGCTATGTTGAACTGAGAAAAATTTAACTTATATTTGTATAATTTAGGATTTTTATCGAAAATGTCAATTATTAGGTTCTTCTCTTGGTCCAATATTATTTCAATTACCACCACGCTTTAAATATACAAACGCAACGTTAGCACAACTGAATCGGTTGGAGACTGTATTGCCGAAAACAGCTCAATTTGTATTCGAATTTCGAAATACAAGTTGGTTTACTGACGAAGTTTATCAAGTATTAAGAAAGAATAAGTAAGTGTATAAAGTCTGCAGTAGAACATGATTTCCATTTTAACAAAACTCTGCATTTCCCATTAACAGATCTTTAGTTGTAAAATTGAAGATAAAAAGAACTCGATCTCTGTGAAGTGATTCGTTTGATGTACATTAGAGTTTTGTTTATCGTTCGTTATAGTTGGTGTTTATGTGTGGTTGATTGTTACGGTGGTTGGTGCGGTGATTTGGCTAATGGTATGACACCACGAGATCCAGATGTGCATTTAACATGTGACTGGGCGCTTTATTATCGTTTTCATGGTAAAACTGGACAATATATGGGCTCATATGGGAAAAATAGCATGAAAAATTATGCTCAAATAGCTACAAAACATCTTGATACACACCCAAATTTACAATTATACTTTTATTTTAATAATACTGATAATGAACATCCACCATCAGCGATAAAAGATTCACGTCATTTAGCTGATGCATTTAAAGAATTAGATATAATAGCAACAGATTAAAAGGTGGACATTGTGAACTAGTCTTTTTGTTCACGTCATACAGCGGTACAAATATTTTTATTTTTTTGTTTATTTTCTTGTATCTAGTCGTTAGTTATTCAATTTAAGTCAGAATAACTTTACAATAAAGAATAATCATGCCATCTAGTCGTTTAATAACAAATATAATTTTCCAGCTTTGCAGGACAACTAGACTTTTGAGTGAATTTTGGGGAAGTTACTGACAACTTCTCTCGAAATACTACTGGTTGTAAAGCATTGACATTGATTCACTATTCATACTTGACCTTTCCTCTTCCACTGATTGTCTCATGTTTATTAAGGAAAAAATTGCTTCATTCTAACATATAAAAAGTTACATATTATCTGCCTACTAAGAAAAAACGAGATCGTGGCTAATTTAAATCGAAATATTCGCTCTTATGGAAATGATAAGCAAAAACTATAAGGTAAGAATATTAAAAAAAAGATGATTTTCTATCTGTTTTCTTTGTAGTGCACGATACTAATACATCTATCTCCTTCAAGTCTTCTAAACTTATGAAATGCACATCAGAATCTATCTGACTCTCGGTCCGTTATGTTTTATAACCCCCAAAATAACTTTGCACATAGATTATCGATCATTATGATTCTCGTGTCAGTGTTTGATGTCAGATCAAGGTTCAACAATCTATTGAAAACCATTATATTAGGTAAAATAATCCAGTCTTGACCATTTTCACTGGAATTAAAACACTAAAATTCAGTCAAAAACGATCAAAACTACTGTATAATATTAACATATGCTCTATCCCAGGTCGAGTAATCCTACTAGCACCCTACAAGATCCTATAGGATCTCACTGATCATAGGATTCCTATTGTAGGGTCCTATGAAATCCTACGGCAGGAATTCTGTAGGATTCTTGATATAGGATGGTAGCAAAAATCCTACTGTAAGATTTTGTAGGATTCCTATTTTTTTGTTCTGTATATGGGTCATTTCCAACTTTATTGTACAATTGGTGAAAAAGAATGAAGGTAACTTTAAACAAAATTTGATTAGTATATCTTGTTCTCGGTTGTTTTCTGAGTCTAGAACCCAAATTTCCCGACTAGCACATGCGCAGCGGCTGAGATAAACCTCAACAAACTTTGGCAGGTTTCGTTCTCTAGGTTTTAGGCCATAATGATCGAGGTTGCTTTAAAAGTGGATATATCATACACCATTCGATAGGTCTCGAAGAGATCTATACGTAGGACTTCACAGAAATCCTAGCATATTTGAAATCAAAATATTCTGTCTTAAATCAGCTGTTTATTTACTGGTAGCTTTATTTATTTATTTTTTCTCTTTTGGGTTCTTTCCCAATCTCTGAATCAGGACTGGGATGAACCCAAGAACAGTGAGTGAGCTTCCATGTTGATTTTCACACTGTTCAATGCGAAAAATTGAATTTATTCAACTCAACTTTTTACTTTTTTCAGCGTTGTATTTATAACTGTTTCTCTGACAAACAAAACGGTGAATAGAAAAGACGAGAGAACAGAGAAAAATAAGAATCCTATGAAATCCTATCGTAGGATTTCATATTGTTTTATAGAAATCCTATAATAAGAATCCCAGCAGGATTTTCGTTGCGATCCTATGGTAAGATTCATATAAGATCTTATGATAGGATTTGTATAAGAAATTCATAAGATTCCTATAGGAATCCTATGATAAACTATCATCTGTAGGATCCTATATAGGATTCATTGACCTGGGTAGAGAGAGATTTCTTGGATTTT